AATATATAATATAATATACATATATAATATAAATAACAAAAAAAAATAATAATAATATAAATAATAATTTTAGGTAATATTATATAATAATATATAATATAATATATATATATAATATAAATAATGTAATATATAAATAATAATATATATAATAATTTTATGTAATATTATATAATAATATATAATATAATATATATAATATATAAATAATATAATGTATAAATAATAATATATATAATAATAATGTTATATAATATTATATAATAATATATATAATAATATTATATAATATTATATAATAATATATAATATAATAAATATATAATATATAAATAATATAATATATAAATAATAATAAATATTAATAATATAATATATAATAAGATAATATAAGATAATAATAAATAATATAAAATATATAAAACATATACTATATATTATACTACATATACTATATAATATATAAATAATAATAATATCTACTATTATGATGTCCTAGTTTTACGTAATATACGAACACATGAACAAACAATGGCCTTTATATATTTAATTAAAGTTCAATGTTTCGAGCAAACAGATACACACACACACACTTTGAGCTTTATATAAGAAATGCACTTGCATTGCTCGTTGTAGATATGGCATTTTAATTGTTTTTATCGACGCAACCCATTGAGAAATTTACTCTCACATTCTTGGGGCGAATTCCCACCTAAAATTTCAATCTGACATGGAATTTGATACAAGTCTTCTGTCATCAACAATTCGGTTTTAACTTTTATCATTAAAGAATTCCGTAACCCACCTCTTTAAACCAAATCTTAAATACCCGTAAATAAAACGAGGGAGGCGCTGTCAATAAAAAGAGTACACAGAGTCATTGGAAAATCGTTTTTAATTCTCACTCCTAAAACAGTCGATGTTTACTATGCTCAGATTAGCCAAGTACAAGGCCAAATAACAGAAGGCTGATTTTGTTGAGCTAGTCCTCCAACCACGTGCTTCAGTGGAAAATATGCAACTATGTAAGACACAAAGCAGGCCATAAATAATCACGTTTAGTGCGTCATAAATTAAATCAGTTAGGACGCAAACCTAATAAAGGAATTATCGGGGCGACGACATTTACAGGTTGTGACTGTTGTGAGATGAGCAAGTGTGTGTTATGATTCAGTTAGGACGCAAACCTAATAAAGTAAGTATCGGGGCGACGACATTTACAGGTTGTGACTGTTGTGAGATGAGCAAGTGTGTGTTATGATTCAGTTAGGACGCAAACCTAAGAAACGAAGTATCGGGGCGGCGACATTTACAATTAATTCACCCCAAGCAAGGCAAGAATGCCACTAAGACGCAAGGGGTTACTAAGAATGAAAGAGAATGAAAATACTTTAGAAGGAACCGGAAACACAAATCTAAACAGGAAACAAGGGATAAATCTCTACTCTTATTCAAAAGACCGGGGAAGAGTGTGAACAGGGTGATAAGCAAACCTATCGTATTCTACTAAAGAAAAAAATAATAAATAAAATTTCAGAGTTTAGGCAGAGACGTTAGAATTATAGAGTTGAAGTAGACTTTAGGAGGGACCAGAAACCCAATCCTAAACAGGAATCAAGGGATAAACCTCTACTCCTGTTCAAAAAACTGTGGAAGAGTGTGAACTGGGTGATAAGCAAACCTATCTTATCCTATTGAGGAAAAAAAAATAACATTTCAGAGTTCAGGCAAAGATGTTAGAAGTAGAGAGTTGAAATAGACTTTTGAAAGAACTGGAAACACAGTCCTAAAAAGGAAATAGGCGATAAACCTCAATTCATGTTCAAAAGACTAAAAAGGAGTGTGAACCGGGCGATAAGCAAACCTGTCTAATTCTATTGAGAGAGAAGAAAAAAATTAGTGAATAAAAGCTCAGTCGGAAACGTTAGAAGTATAGAGTTAAAGTAGACTTCAGAAGGAATCAAGAACTTAAAGAGAAAACATGACATAAACCTATACTCCTGTTCAGAAGACCAGGGAGGAGTGTGAACCGGACGATGAGTTGTCTTATCTCAGCTGGACTGTCAGATTCGGGGTAAGATTTGAAATTCTAACACAGTAACATTTTGGATTTCCCTAACTGTAACTTTATTGGGTCTACTTTTAAAATAAGACCACGAATGAGAAGAAAGTCAGTTGAACATTTAGTAGCGCTGAGTTTTCAAATGTAGCTCACTTCACTTCTTGTAGTAATACCCGGCAACTATGGTTTTAGATCATCAATATTTGGGGTGGGTTAGGCCGGTTGATTTGACGACATCTCAACACTGTTGAATTTTTTCTATGGGGGCAACCAGTAAGGATCGAACTCACTACTCGTTTGTAACGTTCAACCAAACTAGCCTCGCTATTGCCCCAACAATGAGATGTTCATCAATATTTGAGTAACAAACAAATTTATATTAAGTGATGGATCACTTTTCTTTTACAACCGTGTATTAAATAGACCCCACCACTTATAGCTAGAGTAGATTTTATATATTTCTCTACTCGATAAAACAGGGTCGGCAAAATGGCCTACTTTTAAAGCCATGAGCTACTAAATTTTATTTAAAATTTTGCAACTTGGAGCTAATTTTTAAAATAATCTTGATTAACTTTATCTTTTTTTTATCATTTAAACGTTATTTTAGTGGTTACCCATATTTGAGTAGACGTTCCATTTTATTTATTAAACAGCAAATTTATTTATTTTCGTCTACCGGACTGAATATTTCAGAAATCCTATTAAATAAAAAATGCGCTTTTTGGCAGAATTCGAACCTGCGCACTCTTTGCAGAAGAAACAGTCGTTAGAGCCGATGTGCCCTGGGCTGACTCAGTCACGGAGTTCGTTACAATCAGGCAAAGTCGAATAATGCCTTATAAACGCAACTCTTTCCCAGCTTCACGAAACGTTCATATCTGGTCAGTTTCAGATCCTAAGTTGTTATAGTGGAACACACCTATTCTATTGTTAATAGACTCTCCCATCTATAATAAGTAGGAGTAGTAGTAGCAGTCGCTCAGTGAGTTGGTCAGTCAGTCGACTGGCTGATCGGTTGAACTCTCTGCCTTCGGGCGGGGAGGAACCCGAAAAGGCTACGCCGAAGGGCGATGTCTATTTCGGGGAGGTAAACCGACCCTGAACCCGTTTATACGGGTTCAATGGGAATATATTTGGCCGAGCCCACGGGCTCGGAGATCCCACATTAAACCGGCCTTGTGCCACATGATGCCCTCGTGGGGGGGGGTGACTAAATATCGAGTTGGTCAGTCAGTCGATGTCGGACGACCGTTAGTCGGATACTAGAAGTATCAGCCACCACAACTAGATTTCTCTGCATCATTACCTATTATATCAAGTTCCTAACGTTTTGTACGTCGAACCTATTTTAGGACCGATTTAGTACAAATACAAGCCTCCACTGTTAAACGACTCTACAACATAAGTAAACAAAGCAATTTTTAAAGAAGTGATGGATTTATGGGTATCCACTAAAAATAACGTTTAAGTGATGGAAATCTGTCGGATTGATAAATAAAAAAGCCATCACTTCTTTAGAAATTAACTCGGTCTATTAATGAGAAAAAAATGTTGATTTAAATTTTTAATAGCACTGAGTTTTCAATGTAGGCCACTTTGCAACTTGTAATTAAGCAAACCGGTTTCAAAGTGGAAAGGACAGCTTGCCTGGTGAAAATCAGGATTCAAAATCCTGGTTTTTGATGCAGTTCGGTATTTATCAAACCTCTCCTCGAGGTAGAATGCTGCACAAAGCTAATTTTTATGTGGGGCGAATCCGAGCCATGGGTCTCGGTCAAAAATTTCCCGTCGACCCCGTATACACGGTTTTTTTCTATCTATTCATATCTATGATACAAATCACGATAGCCACAAAGTTTTGTGTCTTTTTAATGCAATAAACCTCTATGACTTGGGCGGTTATGGCTCTCCCCACGTTTCTTTATTATATGTGAATTGCTGTGTATTCTTGGAAAAATATAGTAGAGTGGCTTCCATTCTACGCGGTTTGGTGTTTTTCTTTCTCTAAGATCGGTTGCCAACTAAAACAAGAGAATCCAGTCTACCCTACTAAATAACTCATAGCTGAGAATAGAAGAGACTCATTCCGGGCTTCCCCAAGGTTATTTATGCGAAAGTGAACAGCCTATCCCGAGATTTGAACTCTGCCCTTCGATTCCATTTTCCGCGCCTATAATCATTTTGTTACTTGCTAATCTCCTTACGCCATTAGCTGCTCGAAATATCCATCCGATAGGGCCATGGTCTGCAGTGACAATCTTATCCAACGTGTTGACTGGTCGGGTTCTGAAGATAATTAAAAGCCTAAATGGAAGTGACAGTGTCGATGACAAATTTGACAAGCCGTATTTTCATTTCATGGTTTCTCGTCGTCATATTTAAATGTTGCCTGCCACATATTCTCAAACCCCGACCCTAAGTTTGATTCTGATAAAACCGTATATTTAATCACATAATTAACTAATATTACAGCTATGTTTGCCTTGTAGCTGAAGTAGTTTTGTATTTTTCACTCTTGCCAGAGATCACAGTTCAAATCAACGTAAACAAACATATATTTTGGAACAAAAAATGGCATTGAGCAATAATTTTATTCCAATGTGCTATATCAGTGTGCTCCTTTTAGGATTACGTTATTTTTAGTGGATACTCGTATGTTAGTAAACGCTACGTTTATTTATTAAATAATATATTTATTTTCGTCTACCGGTCTGTGTTTGGGAAATCTTATTAAATAAAAATTTACGCCCTCCGGTAGGATTCGAACCTGAGTAGAGGGTGCTACCATTAGACCCGGACGCACATTCATAAATTGTGGTGGGTGAGCCAATTAATTTCAGAGTCGTGGACATTGTACCTGAAAAGGCAGAGTTTTAGGAAGAATTAGGAGAGGAAAAGAAGACACATTTACAAGCTAGACTAGACATAGGCCTCTATGCGGGATCAGTCTAAAAAGCCCAGACATTATCATCGACTGTCCGTCGGATTCGATGAAGACACGAGGAGGAGATTCATCTTGGTCCAGTGGTTTGAATTACGTGACGGCCATGTCTCTGCGCTGAGAACCAGTCGGTGATGCGAAGGAGACGCTGGTTCAAAATAATGCACTGTATTTCAAACCGAATTTAAATTTGATTTATTTTCTCATTGCCAGTAAACGCGATAAAATCGGCCATATTGAAAAATCTATAGTACAACATAAATCTCCTTATTAAAAAATCTTTCAAAAATAAAGTATACTTTTCCTAAACTTTATTTGAGCTGTTTTATAGTTTAATTAATCTGAATTGAAACAAATATTACTTAGTTTTAGCTTAATATATTGCAGAAAATGAAGGTGGGTGTTTTTATGAAATATTGCCACATTTATCGACATCCTGATGTTTGGTTAATTTATCTAAGAGGGAGATAATTGTAATAGAATAACATGACGCATACAACGCAAAACGCCTTTTAAAATATATATATATATATATATATATATATATATATATATATATATATATTGTCATCACAGACAGACTGTTTTCTGTATTACAGCTCATCAGTGTGTTTAGACATCCGATCGCATCAAGCCAGGATCGAAACACGACTGATTTGGTATCAGTCGGGGATTTTTCCCCTTCCTATCGGCTCTCGGCGGAGAGAAAGTTGAAATTTTACCTATTTATTTTGAATAAACATGCCAGTGACTCAGAGTGCTCGATTCATAGAAGAGCTTTGCATTATCAGCAGTAGCAGTCACTGTTTACAAATCTGCGCTTTTCTAAAAAAATGCTCATTTCTTTGAGACTTAAAAGAAAAAAAATATATATATATATAAATATATATATATATATATATATATATATAATTTCTGGGTAGTTTATATATATAACTGGCATTTTTATTTAAAAGTAAATACGTCTAAATTTACCTTCATTGCCGTGCGCCATAGTCTTAGGGGTAAAATCTCTGACTGATACCAAATCAGTCACGTTCCGATCTCGGATTGAGGCAATCAGATCTCTAGCCACACAGATGAACTATCAAAGAGCGAAACAAGCGGATGTATGTGGATGACAATATATATATATAACTACCCAGAAATGCTAAAAAATTAAAAATATTGTAAGCATTCTAATATTTTATTGAATTTTAGGTATTATGAAAATGTTTGTTCAGGAAATGTTAGAAAATTAACAATAAATTTTAAATTTGCTATAGTTACCGCTTTTATTTCTGATAGTGCTGTGTATGGACATCCATATTTACAAAAATTGGCACGTTGATACACAGAATTTAAAAAAATAATAATTTTGAGGGTCGCTGAATTGTAGTAATATTTTCCATTTACGATTAGTAAATACAGTTTTTGTTTAATAACAATATCACTTGACCCTTAAAAATTAAAATGAAATTTTAAAAGATTTAAAATTTTATAAATTATTTTAATTAAAATTTTAAAGAAATGAAAAAAATCGTGTAAAAATTCATTATTCATCGAAATATATTTTTTGTAAGACAATAGTGTCCATAATATATTTTATTTATAAAATCAATTTAAATCTTCTGCCTCTTAATTTTATTGTTTTTTATTTTACGATTCAGAGATAGTTTTCTTTAACTGTTTTGTTGTTTGACACCCAAAATTTGATTATTTAAATTCTCCGAAGACTTGTCATTATGTCTAATATAAACGTTAAGCTCGACAACAAATAATTTCTCGGAATTTCATAAAATTAAATAAGCGAGAAAAGGGTAACAGATTAAAAAATAAAGTATTTTTCCAAGATTGTCTAAAAATAAACATTTACAAAATAATTTCATTCATCTCTGAATAAGTCCTGAAAGTTCCATTAAAATTCGTAATTATTTGATTTTTGCAAGAATTTTGGGATCAATTTTTTTTCATAGCAAAATGGCAGACAAATTCCCTAAATACAAATTCATGGTTTCATGTTTGACTCCAGGAAAACAAGTTTGGGACCAACATGGTTCTAGAACACATATTTATAAAAAATACTTTTTTACAAAAAAAATCATTTGATCTTTTTCTCTTAATAAAAAGATTTTGACGATAAAGCCTGTCTTTTTATTAAAATTTGGGCGTTTTTTCATTATGTATGGTCATTTTTTTAGCGAGTCTTCAGTAGTATATATATATATATATATATATATATATATATATATATATATATATATATATATATATAGATAGATAGATAGATAGATAGATAATGAAATGGATTAAGTCCGACAATTATTTAACATATTTTCTGTTTATAATAATGTTTATAATCTTTTATAATAAAATTTACATATATATATATATATATATATATATATATATATATATATATATATATATATTCTGTTCACACATTATTTTTATAGATAAAAATTTATTTAAATAAATATCTATCTATCTATCTATCTATCTATCTATATATATATATATATATATATATATATATATATATATATATAGAGAGAGAGAGAGAGAGAGAGATAGTGAGAGATAGATAAAAGGAAAACTTTTTGTAGTCGACGCGTTTCCTCTTTTGATGGCAAATTTACGGATTTCATTTTGCAACAAGTATTTATAAATAGAAGTAAAAATATCGTTAGTTTTTCTGAATTTCTAAATTTAAAAACGCTCATAAATATGCTTTAGACTAACTGAAAGTGGAACTATGGCTATGTGATGTAATTTATTGTCTAAAAAACGAAAGTGAACAAATGTTGTTATTGTGGTTGAATTTTTAAAAATAATATAACTATTATCCATTTTATTTTAGTTTGAGTTCAATTTATATGTGTATTTCTTTTAAATAATGTTTTAAATTTAACTGTTTTCTTTGAATTTTTAAAAATTTGTCTACATTTCTGAGATGCGTTATTATGTGCACTATTTACATTATTCGGACTATTGTCCTCATCTTTGTCGCCATATGTATTACAACTTTTCAGCCGTTGTACGCTCCGGCCTTCTTCAGGTGTTTGGAATGTCTTTATTCACTGTGCCTTGTGTTAGTTAGATCGAGTAACAGGTCCCAAAAGAATGTGAGTTCAATACCCGGTTAAGGCAGTGGAGAACTTGGAGAGGGGAATTAACAGGAGATAACTGATAACTGAATCCATTAATACATGGCACGTGAAACTAGAACAGTCTACTCCAGTGAGCGAAATAAAGGGTTCAGTTCGACATTCTAACCACCTGAAGAAGGCCGGAGAGTACAACGGCCGAAACGATATAATAAATATGGCGACAAAGATGAGGACAATAGTACGAATAATGTAAATAGTTTTAAAAATTTGTATTCATGTAGTGATTTTTCAGACGTAGCTCAGATGTGGCACAAGGACGAAAGTATGGGGTACCCAGTGGGGATCGAACTCACTACTCTGTCGTAATTGTTCTAGCAAGACAAGCTTGCTAACCATTACACCACCTCGAGGTGCCCAAAATTGGTGTTCATGTATGTTGACTTGGGAAAGGAGTATATCCAACATACATGGCCCTAATTATTTTAAACGATTCCATCGACAAGACTTGGATCAACCAGTGCCAGAGTCAATAGCCACTTTCCAAAAACGCTGATCGCCTCACCAGGCCGATATTTAGATTTCGGCATTAAATAACCCATTAAAGTGTTGATATGTCACTAAACAAAATCAACTAACCAAATCTTTATAAAAACGCAGATAATTGAGTTTGATATATAAAAGAAATAACTTACTTTTGAGTACCTCAACGTCGTGGTATTAATAGTTAACAGTCTTGTCATTACTACTCTTTAGTGAGTTCAATCCTCATTGGGTTAACTAAGATTGTAACCTGCTGTCAAACTAAGTGAAGGTTAGTAAATATTAAGGTGCGTCTCAGTTTGGTGTAATGGTTAATAATCTAGTCAGATTGTTGGCCATGAGTAGTGAGTTCGATCCTTACTCGATGCCAAAAATAAGTGCCACGCTCAGATAAGATTATTGCATTTGTGCACTAAATACAAGTGCCTGCAAGATTAAATTACTTTCCTTTAATATCACCCCCACAGACCCTCGGTTTATTTAGAATGACACATTTATCATTTTTCAATTTTTTTTCTTTCTTTCTTTCTTTCTTTTTTTCACTCCAGAATCGGACACGTGTGATTTATGGATCCGATGCAAATACAACTCTTTACGGCACTACTTAAAACAACTAGAAGAACTACCCGGTTGCCCTTGCATTTATCCCAATTTAGTATGGAACAATCAACTTTGGGATGACTCGAAAGAGAGTTACTTCTCTTGGGAGACTGCTAACTCCCAGGTGGATCGCAGCGACATCTACAAACCAGGAGCCAAATTCTGCATCCGCTCGCTTCTCGAACCGGGAATGGTGACATTGGCTGCCCAGCATTGTTGCTATGACAACAACCAACAGTTGATCACTCGCGGGAAAGCAGCAGGTACTCCAAACCTTATTAGTCCGCAAATTTCATGGGAACTTCACCGAAAAGTTGATATTCTCCCCTGGATAATCTGCAAAGGCGACTGGTATCGGTAAGTAAAATAAATAGAAATAAATTTCTACTTTACTCACTCGGCATATATAACCAAATGTAAATTAACCTCTAAAGTTACTGTTAACGTAAGCCTGTGTCCGGAAGTACTCGACATCCGGTTTGTTGTCACTTTTCCTCAAAAGTGTCTATTTATTCATCTGTTTGGTTTTTTTTTGTTGTTGTTGTTGGGTTTTTTTAAGCGTTTCACCCCAAGCAAGCACTAGCACGCAAGGAGTTACAGAGAATTGGAGCTAGAGCAAAGAGGAGTGATAGAGGAAAGGATGAATAGAAGGATAGGGGATAGATCAAGGCATCTGGAGACGTCGATTGACATTACATTTGAATAGATGGAGAAAAACAGGGAAACAGGAAAAGGAGAGGGTTTTCCACAGGCGAGAAGTGCGAGACATGAAGCTATTGGAGTAGAAGAGACGGCTACATTTAACAGTTTCAACAGTGAAAGGGTGACAGCGAGATGCCAGCCTATTTGAACGCTTAAATTCATGAAGTCTGGGAACCAGCGAAAGCAGCTCATCGGAGCAGTTTGCGTGAAAGTATTTTTAAAAAAGACAGAGGGAGGCGACGGCACGTCTGTGAGAGAGCGACTGCAGACGAGATGCCAGATCAGGGCCAATTACATTGCATATCCGTCTCTGGATTTTATCAAGAACCTTGAGACAAACGTAAGGGGCACCGGACCATATATGGCAGCAATACTCCATGCAACGGCGAATGGTTGATTTGTAGATTTGAACGATAAATAAAGTGCTCAATACGGTAAGTAGAGCAAACCTAATTAAACCTAAACAGCCATATAAATCTACCAAGTTTTCACCTACCGTCAGGGAACACTGGAGCACTTTAGTTAGTTATTTTACTTACTAGTATCGGATTTTTTTCTTTGGACTCTGAACTTGGATGCTAGACGATTGTCTTCGGCTGACGTACATGTTCTCTGTTCTTTCTTTTTTGTACCTTTTTTCCCCTTGGATATTGGTCTGTTTGTTTACATATCAACGTATCCAAGGTTTTCCGGACGAGTATAATTTCTTATATTTATAAGATTATTACTATATATATATATATATATATATATATATATATATATATATATATATATATTTCCTAATTTAAAATATGGATGGAAGCATATTTCAAATTAGTAAATTTATAATATTTATGCTCTGCAGAATTGTATTGAGCACTGATTTAAAAATAAAAAATAATTAGAGCACTGGATTATAAATCTTACTGTTCTTTCTCATTATTTTAATATATATATATATATATATATATATATATATATATATATTAAATAACAGACCACTTTAAGGTTCTATGTAATAAATTATTTCACCACAGCCCTTTTAAAGGACTGCAGATCATCAGACTTTACTTCCAAACAAAAAATGAAATGAAAATTTACACATTTTTGACGGGCTGTATTAAACATATGTAAAATAACGAAGTGAGGAAGTGAGGGGGGAGAGAGAAGACATGAGTGAGTTAGCAGATATTGACACATTTAAACGGTTAACTTAACGGAAGTTATATATTGATATCGAAGGGGTAGAGGAGAAAAAACCCATAGAGAGAAAAAGAGAGCAGGAAGTCATGAGAGAAGGTGACACTAATTTTCTTTGTAAAAAAAAAAAATAAATATATATAAAATATATATATAAATATAAATATATATAAAAATATAAAAATATATAAAATATATATAAAAATATAAATATATATAAAAATATATAAAATATATATAAAAATATAAATATGTATAGAAATATATAAAATATATATAAAAATATAAATATATATAAAAATATATAAAATATATATAAAAATATAAATATATATAAAAATATAAAAATATATAAAAATATAAAAATATATAAAATATATAAAATTGAACTGAATTACGAGAATTTTACGTGATTTTTTTTTTTCAGGTCAACACAATTTCTGCCAAAAAGCGCCTGATAGTTACCCGGAGACATAATATTTAACAAATTAAAAGAGGTTCAAGTGACTTATCTGTTTAGACAACTCCATGAGAACAGATACTTCGCTAGGATCCAGGCACAAAGGCTGAGAAGGGCTGTATTTAAGTATGACGTACTTCCTGTTAGGTAACGATTACATAAACACAGCTGTCCAGAAGTCTGGGATACGTACCTTCCCCTGATGTTCCTGGGCATTTACACATGATTTGGAACTCAATCCTATCAGCCAAACAAAATAAAACTGAGCTTCATGTAGTTTGGTTTGATCTCGTGAATGCGTATGGATCAGTTCCTCGTGAGCTAATTCGAATGTCCCTCGATTTTTTCAATTTCCCTAATACGGTTTGGGGAACTTATAATGAAATATTTCAGAGCAGTGTTTATGCAATTCATTGTTGGTAACTATACCACCAAGTGGCAAGACCTCGAGATCAGCATCATGATGGGATGGGTGATTTCACCTCTTCTTTTCATTATGTCTATGAAACTCAGCGGACACAGTAAAGAGAATGATGACTAAGAAACAAATGGTCCTTCCTTCTTCCAGAGCGTTCATGGATGTGATCACCACTCTGGTTCCGACTAAGGTCGATGCTGATGAACTGCTGCAGCAATACCATAAGCTCTTCACGTGGGAGAGAATGAAGGTTAAACTAAATATATATATATATATATATATATATATATATATATATATATATGGAGCTTATCATTACTCAGAGGCTTTGTCAGGAAGATTCCTTCCGCATTGGGGTGACATGTTCCTGACAGAGAAGCCAGTGAAGAACCTCAGATGGCTGTATGAAATTCCACTGACTGATCGGCATCGAGGTAAAGAGGTGAAGAAAGTGGCACTAGATGGACTTGAATCCATCGACTGAACCCATCTCCCCGGGAAACTGAAGGCTTGCTGCTACCAACATGGTTTGCTGCCCCGGCTTCTGTGGTCGTTGTAGTGTGCGATATTACTGTGTCTCGCATTCAGCAGATGCAGCAGTGTATCAATAAGTATCTGCAAAATTGGTTTGGAGTCCCCCCCTTGCTTCTCCACCGTGGGGCTCTATACCAATGCCGGAAACCTGTAACTTCCCATTTCCTCATTGGTGGAGGAGCTCAAGGTCGGGGTGGTACGCCTTCACATGATAATGAAGGACTTGTCTGCAGGTTACAGCCAGATATCAAAACTGGCACCAAATGGTCGACAGCAGAAGCCACTCGAGAAGCAGAATCCAGCATACAAACCAAGGAGATTATGGGGGTGACCCAAACCAATCGAGCTGGCAGCTCAAGCAACCAGCTTTTTCTCTAAACAGGGTCCAAAGAGAAAACGAGACATGTTGATTAAAGAAATCGGGAATTTCGAGGAAGAGCAGCGAACAGCTACTGCTCTTTCTCAGTTCAAAACAATGTGCTTGGACGACATGAAGTGATATTGATCCGATGAAGCCATCATGGTGTACCCTGATTGCAATGGAACCATTGGCATTATCATTCCTCCTGCCATCTGCCTATGATCTCCTACCAAATGCGACCAACCTCAAGCTGTAGGGGTACACTGACACCGATATATGCGCATTATACCAAAGTGATCGGGGCACTTTACGTCACGTGCTCTCAGCATGCCCACAATCATTGCAGATGTACACGTGGCGTCATAACAAAGTGTTGGAAGTGGTCACGGACTTAGTGCACAGTGTGAAGCAGCCAACAAACAGCCTGTAACGGCCAGAGAACCTAAGATCCGTTTTCACAAGGAAGGTGAACGCCCTGTGCAGAAGACCCAAATAACTCCCTACTGAGTGGAGCTTGTGATTGGGGGGGTGCTAGTAGAACACCTCTGCAATTTCCGATACACATCATTCAGACAAACGCATGCCCTGACATTGTAGCGTTGTCTGATTTAAAGAAGTGTGCCCTCCTAGTAGAATTAACGGTTCCATGAGAAGGGAACAGTGAGGAGGCGCACGAGCGAAAGAAAAATCACTACAAATCGTTGCGATCCGACTACGTGGAAAAGGAGTGGACATATCATGTGCTACTTGTTGAGGTCGGGTGCCGTGGATTTCTTGGGTGGACGATCGTTTCCTACCTTTCAAAGGTGGGTATCACCCGCAGGAGCCTGAAGCGTGCTTCACATCGTCTCCAGACCCCAGCTCAACAGGCAGCGAGTTTGATCTGGTCAAGATTCAAAATGAATAAAGTTGAATAAAACCATGCTCGCAGCACAATGCTACTTCTGACGTGAAACACATCTCTTACCTTCCATTCTACGTCATTGATAATGGTCGCTACGAGCGCGTTGTGTATTGGTAAACAATCAAAAGTAAACGCTTTTAACACAACGTTGAAAATCTGACTTGCTGTTATGAAAAAATCGCAAGAGACTGACACGTATAAACAAAAACAATAGCCTTTCCGGTGGCAAAGGCTGCTGGTGGCGCCAGGGGTGGCATTACTGCCTTAGTTAACGAAACTGTGTTACCTCCCCTGGTTCACTGCTGACGATGGCAGGGTATCGCACGTGCTTTCACACGTTGTATCTAGAAAATATTGATAGCATCACGAAAAACGTGATACCTAAGGTTTAAAATGAATATTTAATTTTTTTCTTGGGGCTTTTATTTTAGTTTTAATTTCAAGCTAATAGATTAAATTTAATTTTTCCAATTAACAAAGTACTTTGCTGTGTTTCAAAACTGATTTAAATTGAATGGAATGAGTTTTTTTTTTTTTTGAATAGCTGACTAGCGCCCTTTTTAGTCACCTTTCATCGCAATGTATTTCTCTTTATTAAAACATCTTCGAGAAATAAAATATACTTTTCTGAAACTCTATTTGAGGACTATTAGCTGATTTAAAGTATAATTAATCTGATTTGAAACAAATATTATTTATTTCATATATCGCAGAAATGCATTTTTTTAACACAGCGGTAGCTGTTTATTTGAACTTTTGACATGTTTGACAGATTGATGACATTGATGCTTATTGA